ACAAGGCAGTCCATGGTTACAATTACTGTACTTTTGTCAAGAGTTTAGTGAAGAAAACCACAATGAGAAAGATGACCTGTACTGTACCTAACCTGGACTTGTGTGTCTGGTGCATCATGAATCAGGTCACCAGAAGAACTCTTGTGGTCATCATTTCTCCATCTTCAAGTCATCATCCTGAATGAATAATTATTACAACTCTGTACAAATATATTAAATAGTATACTCACAGTAGGATACACTATATACACTGCTAAGGTATCCCAATATACAGTATGTACATGATGTAAACAAGTTTCAACAAATGTCTACACTATAAGCTAAATAAACAAATCATTTTATTATTAATACAAAGATTTTCCTCACAGAACAGAACCCCAATATATAAAATTACTTAAACTTAATTCTAAGAATCAGAACAATATTTGTATACTAAGGAACACCAGTGAACTAGCTTACTGCCAAATTGCATAGCACAACTTAAGCACCAGATATGAAAAAGTGGAGAAACGTAAGTAACAACCTTATTTTTACCATATAGGTCTAACAGTAGTGATAAACTTTTGATAAATGTTCAACAGGCTGTCAAACAACTGCCCCTGCAATGTTTTATACAACTGTACAGTACTAGATTATTGATGATCATTATGCAAGGCATCTGTTAGTAGTGAAAAGGTTTATTAAGAACTGTTGGTAAGAGTAAGGCAGAGTAACATTCAACACTTCTCCATCAATTTCTTTTTAAGAATGTGGCAACATTAAAAAGTAACCCAAAATAATCAAACTAAGTTAAAATTTGGAAGAAACTAACATTTACAATTGTGGGTAAGTTAGACTAATCCAAGGATCAGGTACAAACAACAAGCCATCAACCCAGAACATTAATTCTACAATTTTTGCTAACTACATGTGCTTTGTACGGGTTTAATAAATAACTTATAAAAAATCCTTTAAATTCCACCATCTATAACAGGTAATCACATTCTTTTTCACGTGGTGTAAAGTTTATATAGAATACAAGTATAGTATTTCCTCGCTAACCTGAACTATAAGCCACGCCCTCTATACTTATAGCCGTATTGTCTTGTACATTTACCTCCCCGGACTGTGTATACAAGCCTGCATTATATCAACCTTATAAATTATTTAACATTTTCTAACATCCTCTGGAAGAGCTAATGACTCGAGATCATTTACATTATGATAGTCCAGATAGTTAACATTATTTTATATTAAAGTCTGTTTACCTATTGTCAACAGTTTGGATTTCTTGTCAGCCTCAATCAGCTGTTAAGGTATAGAAGAGAAAAGTAGGGCCTAAGGCCAGGTTAGTGTAGCGAGTACAGTGACTCTCTCCAAGAATCTAACTGCTCCAGAAGGTCGTTCGTTAACCTAGCAAGTTCGAGTTAACCTAAAAACCATTGTTTCAATGGGTTTTTGGGTACTGGTTCCAGCTCACCTAAAGGCCTTCCCTACCCAACAAAATGGTAGGAAAAGTTCACTTACTTTGAGGTGTGTATAGAAGGCTCCTGATGATGATGATGATGGATTAGAATGGGGTGGAGGAGAAGGATCTAAGAGTATGCATTGGGGTGGAAGAGAAGTCACCCCATGGCGCCTATTTCACCCATATAATTTTAGCTCTCTGGTGTAATTCAAGATTATTTTTTAAATCAACACTGCACTGCAATATATATTGTCAATATGTAAAATATATTTCAAAATGACCAATAATTTGCTTGGAAACACAGAAAAAAGCGCTAGGTTGAAGAGAGTCTCAAGCAAGATAAGTTACGTCCAGTGAAAACAGAGAGAGACTAACTCCTGTTTGCTGTGTTAAGAGGCTGGATACGCGATTAAACTAGTCACTTTACCTTTTCAATTATGTTCACAATTGTTGCAGTCTAATGCCAAACTGAATATTAAACTTTTTTAAAATTATTGAATAGTATAAACTTTGATATTTACTAAAATAGTAAGGAATTTAAGCCCTAGAACCGATTAATGTATTGCAGATTGATACTAAAGCTGGTTGTCTGCCAGTGTTTAAGAATCCATTCAATCAATTCTTTTTTTTCGCTAACCTAATTGAAGATTCTTATGGAAGGCAGTTCGTTAATCTAAAATTACGCAACCGAGGTGTTTAAAACGAATACCAAAACATAGCAAAGTCACCTGTATTAACTGGAATCCGGGGAACAACACAAACTGAGAACTAGAGATGCAGGCAAGTCAATAATGCCAAGGTTGAATGCAGTTATTTAACTTAAGAGGGATCCAGTTACTGTCAGGACCTTAGAGCCAGCCAAGTGAAGGTACTTGAAGGATTATGAATATAAATGACAATTAAACTAAAGGTAAGAGACTTAATCTTTGTTGGATGTATTTATAGATCACAGAACTGCAGTTTATTAAGCCAGGTCAGTTTACAGGCATCAATACTCAACACACCATTATGGGCGACTCACTGGAGGAATGAAATCACCGAGAAACAAATGCAAACACTGTTGAATATAGCCAGTTAAGTAAACTATTGGACTGATAAAATATACTGTATACTGCAGATCAAACCCACTGACTCATGAATAAAGAGACCACTCAGATTGTAGAAAGACTGAGTAAGATTGCCAGTCTGATTCCAAATGAGGTCAAGGCAAAGTCCCAAAAGCTTTCTACGTGTGGGCAAATCAGACCATTACAAGATCGTAGTTACTCTGATCTGGGCAAGACCAGAGGCGCCAAATAGTTTTCACCAGAGGCTGCAAACCTCCATGTGTTTGAGGAGTAACAACACAGTATTGTTCACAGTCAAGTATCAAGCCAAATCATCAAAACTAAAGGTACATACAGCCCTGATGGGGAGCTTCCAGTGTTAAAGACTTGGGCAGTGAGCTCCCTAAATCTTGTTGTATAGAAGCATAAACAAGCAAGACGTCTCCCAATGACTTGAAAATGGCATTTGCAAGTCCAATATTGAAACATAACGTATGAATAATTACAGTGCTGTATAGACCAATGAATGACCGGCATATTGTGTAAAGGATAGCCAATTGGTTTATGCCATTGTCCAGCTTATAGGCAGGCAAGGGGGGTGACTTGAGACAAGTTTATATACCTGTAATAGGGCATTACTTAGTCTAGTGTTCATAACTAGCAGAAGCCCACCCCACTAGAGGTCACAACTTATGGTTAATGACAAGCCCAGAAATCTTTGGGCAATTTTTTTTTGTCGCGTCGTTTACTGTTGGAATTTTGTGACTACAGTACTGTACTTGCCAACAGTAACAGCCAGTACGTGCCCAGTACTTAGAACATAAGAACATAAAGTGGGATACTGCAGGAGGCCGACTGGCCCATACAGGGCAGATCCCTTTCACACCCATCCCAGCACTTCCATGTGCCTATCCAACTTCGTCTTGAAGCTCCCTAGCGTCCCCGATCCTACTATAGCACTCGGTAGTCTATTCCACATATCCACAACTATTTCCAAACCAGTGCTTGCCTATATCCTTTCTGAATCGGAATTTATCTAATTTAAAGCCATTTGTTCTAGTTATTTCGTTATTACTTGCCAACAGTGTTTAACACCCAGTACATGCCCAGTACTTGCCAACTGTGTAACAGAGCCAGTACATGCCAGTGTTCAGATGCAATCGACCACACCTTGACCCCAACTGCAAAGTTAATGCAACAGACTTGACATTTCACTATAGAACACACGGTCATTTTTCGTTAACCACCCATCACCTTTTAATGGGTTTCTCTTACCATTTAATAGATCGAGAAACAAATGTATACTTTAATTTAGCGGCATTCCAAAATTAAACACAATATCCACGATTTATTTGTGGTAATGAATTTTAATTTGATGTTATGGTGACAAACGTCGCTCTCGTTCGTAAAATACTAAAAAGAACACCAAACAAACCTTTGAAAACCTGACCTAATGTTTCCTAACTTGAGAAAATGTTAGGAATCACTTAATTTATAAATCCCTCATCTTACCACCTACTAAACACCAAAAACGTGAATAAGATAAACTTTTACCTTTGGATTTTTAGAAGTGCAAACGTTAGGTCAGGTTTTTAAGAGTTGTTTGGTGTTATATATAGTATTTTACCCCACATTTCCCTCTACTTTAAAGCCCTGCCCACTTTAAACAAATATTGCTAGTAATCTCCCCTACAGTACATCATTGGGGTGGGAATAAAATAAGTGATTCGCCCCAAAGATAAATGTTAAGAATCTTCCAAATCTAGAAAACTAGAGAAAAAAATATATGGAAAAAAGGTGATTGGTAGTTAACGAAAAAGTATCTCACAAACTTACCTCAATAAATAAGGTGGTACAGTACGTATCCACGCTGACGACCACTGGTGCACCAACCTGGCCTTTAACACAACAACAACTGGATCCATCATCTATAAAGAAAAGATAACTAATATTAGTCTATTGGCTGTCCTCAGGTTTTGGTAAGAGATTTTTTTTTTTTTACTTATACAGTTATTACTCAAATCTGACCTTTATTTCATTAGCAAATTATAGGTTTCAGCAAAAAATTGAACATTAATTTTTTAACAAACTGCTAATTTGCACAAAAAATAACGTCAAATTTGAGTAAAAAAGCCAAAAATACACAAACCAAAGGAACCAACCAACCAACCTAACCTAACCCAGTGAGTAAAACCTCGGGTGAACATGGCGGGAACCTATGGACAGCCAAAGGTCCAGTGTTACCGAAAATCTTACGAGTAACATACTTATAAGATAAATCCTGTTACATACAAGACCATGACAGTCACTCGGGTATGAACACCGCCACTATGAACTGGACAAAACTTAATCGTATTTCATTAATTTAAATAAAATCATCGAGCCAAAATTGTTAAGTATTCTTTAACGTAACTTGTCAATGTGAGAGTTAACGACCATTAACCTATGCTTGTTGTACCATTTAAAGCATTTCCTTTTAAAATAAATTGGTACAAATAAATAACCTTATATATCGTCCTTTACACAATTATAAATTTAACCAATTAAATACATTAAAATAACACTTACTATCAAACGAAGGTTCTGGTAAGTGAGAGAGACGACCGACAGCACCTTCCCCCTCTGTGTCTATATTGGTACTGAGGCGTCGACGCGTCAATCGCCTCCGTCTAGTATTCTTCCCGCCAAAAACCGTATCCGAATAAGGTGATTTTAAAAAAATAAATCCAACCTTAATAGAAAATACAAGATTTAATTCAAATTTTAGGTTAAATTAATTAATATCGTAATAAAGAAAAGAAACAATTAGAAAAACTTTATGGAAAAATAAACAGAAATAATAATACTGTACATTACTCTAAATTGTTCAGCTTCGGATACACTTGAGTAGGACGGAAAAGTTACCATCTATACCGATAAAAAAATGTGATATTAGATCATCGTAGCAGCGCCATCTGTTGAGCTGACCCCTTACTATACGAGAAACCCTTTAAATATGGTATTACTCATTATCAAGTTTGTTTTGAATTTGAGTTTCACCCGTAAGATGATGAAAACAAACCATAGTATTTGTAAATAAACCACAGTATAAGTAAACAAGCCATATTATATGTAAACAGAGCAAACGACGCACAGTCCTCACTACCTGCCATCTATTGAGCTGAGCCAGCAGTTGTAAGAGCTAATGAACACAGCGATTCGTTTAGATTCCTGTCTTTCGTATATAATACAGTTCCTAACAGTGAGCCAGTACATGCCCACAGTGCCACATTGAAATAGGTGTAGATCTTTACACAGTCTGCCCCCCCCCCAGCAACAACAACCATGAGTATACGTGATTACTGCAGGGAGACGTCGGATATGGAGGAGACAGGCCTGACTAATGCAACGTTTAGAAAATAACTGCTGCTTGGGAGATAAAATAATAAAAAAACACTAAGACAATTTATTAAAGACGAAAATAAAACAAAAATAAAAACATTGTTAATACGCCTGCAATCATTTCACTGCTCGGTGCTTAATGCGCTGGTGCCAAATCACCTTCATTTGTTCTGTATTTTGTTTATATACCAATGTTGAATCATTTTCTGTATTAAACAATTAATATTCATATATAGTAATAACAATAAATCTTAATTTGTTTTGTATTTTGTTTACTTACCAATGTTTTAATCGTTTTCTTTGTTAAATAATCAATATTCATGTATAATAATAATACAACATTTCTCGAGTCGTCTGTATACATGTGTAATTTCTATTCGTGTAAAATAATAACTTACAAGTTGTCACTAATACTAGCGACTGTTAGTGGTGACGAAACGGATTTAATATTGGTAAAGAACCGGGGTTTTGGTGACGAACCGGGTCGGTGACGAAATGAATTGGTGACGAAATGGGGTGTATCTGTTGTAATGGTGTATAAGCGACGGAGATCACTGAAGGATACGCTCGCCAGTACGCGACGCAAAATTAAATAAACTATTCTGTTCATTACTGACCAGGATGCCTTACTGCTGTGCTGACGACTGTAGAAATGGTGAAGGATCTGGGAGAAGTTTCTTTCGCTTCCCGAGAAATCCTGAGCAGAGGAAGATATGGGAGAGTCGTGTAGGACGGGAAGGATGGCGGTCGACCCTCACCACTGTGTTGTGTTCTGATCATTTTGTGAAGACTGACTATGAGGTTGATCCTGATCTGCTGAGTAGTTTTTGTACTCGAAGACAACCAAGGCTGAAGAAAGATGCTGTACCCTCCGTCTTTATGTGCAACAAGGAGATACCCACCAGCACACAGGTAAACCCACGGCTAGTGAGAGACCGTCACCCACTAGACGTCTTCTTACAAATCAGATACACACCAACCTGTCTGAGGGTTATTAAGAATGGTTAATATGTGTAATAATTCTGCAAACGCTGGTGTACAAATTGGGTGCTGGACAATTCGTACCCAAGCAAATTACGAGATAACTCGTGCCCAATCTACTTGTGACAGTTCGTACTAAATGTTATATAATACTTCTTTGAGATAAATGTATAGTATATCAGGTGCCTAAAAGAGAGCTCAGGTTCTCAACTGGATCAGCCATGTTAATATTATTATTATCCACTCTATCTGTTTTATCTGGCTAAATAAACTGTTTCAATTCAATATATATTGTAGATCCACAATGGAAACGTGAATAAGTTAAATCTTGATAAAATCATACAGTTGCCTCTGAAGATGTCTTGAATAAAGACGAAAGCTTTTTTTTTTAAAGTTAAGGTGCTCTATTGTTTTCCTTTTTCCTGTGATTAAAAAAAAAAAAAAAAAAAAATATATATATATATATATATATATATATATATATATATAATTTTTTTTTTTTTACGTTGACCTGTCAGAAGAAGAAATTTCTGACGATGTCACTAAGTCAGCCACTCCATAGATCAAGTTCGTTATACGGGAAGAAGTCCCAGAGAGGAGCCCCGAATTATATGCTGTACACTAACTGCTGGTTTGTTTACAAAAACCTGGAGCTGGAAAATCAATGTTTTTATGCATGTCTATATTTTCTTCACTTATGACCATTTTAAACGTTTACATGGCCCAGTTTATAAATTGATATTGCCAAATCTATTAGCCTGAAATCTGTAAATTGCAATGAAGTTATTCTAAACCACATAGTGTGAAATGTGTACTTGTAGTACAATGTTTGTGTGACGGAATAACATAACTTATGTAATGAGATGCAACCATTTTAAAGTCCTGCATTACATTTCCCTATTTCACTGCACGTTCCTACAAGATTTACATAATCTTTTTATTTATTTTTTTGTAATCATAGATAAAGCTAAAATACATGGTATATATTCTAATAGGTATGGATTATATCTTAATTGGGTGTAAGTGTAATCTTGGGTACGAATTATCTCTTGAGTTAGATACGAGTTAACCTTTTTGGGAGTACGATTTATCTTGGGTACGAAGTGACCCTAACCGGTATAAATTAGGCAAGAAATTTGGGGGTAATTCCCCGTTGTTTTTCTGGTGTGTTTTAGTAAAAAATAGTCTTCATTTTGGTAAACTTTTAGTTTTGGTCATCCCTGTATTTAGATATCCAAACTACCCTAACCTAACCTAATCGATTTCCCAGATGAGTTCTGTTATGATAATCATTTCTTGTGCAAATCCTTTGTGTGGTGATAATTACCGGTAAGTGCCCAGGAACTTTTTCTTTCTCGGCGGTGATGCTGGATATACTCTACTATTTTTATTTTATTTTTTTTTTTACGGGAATTAGCCCACCCGGACACAGGTCAAACGACCCACAACGGGGCCTGGTTGGCGAAAAAAAGAACAAAAAGAAATTGAAAATAGAGAAGAAATATGTTATATACTGTGTTAATCTACACCACGAAGATGCCGGAAAACCAGCTTTTTAAAGTGAGACAGTTTGTATAAGTATGGAAACACAGACGAAGGCAGAGCATTCCTCAGTTTGGCTGTGTGAGGAAAGAAGAATGTACTATAACGGGTTATTCTCGTGTGACCGACATCCACAAAGAAACGGTGGGCACCGCGGGCAAGACGTGTGTTATGAACCCACGGCATTGCCGGCGGTACACAGGATGCCAAATCCACCGAACATTGCCCGTTAAAGTACCTGTAAAAGAGAGAGAGTGAAGCAACATTGCGGCGAAGAGAAAGGGAAGAGAGATTGTCAACTAAAGGATCGTGTGACTTCAGTGTTAGACGAATAGCCTTCCATATGATACCATTGTACTGTTCGACCTGTGCATTCCCTGTGTTGTCCTGCTTGTTGCGATACCCTTTTGAGAAAGGTATGCCTCGGGCTCCTGGGAAATAAAGGAGGTACCTCTGTCTGAGTGTATAAAGTTGGGCATTCCACAAAGGCTAAATATTGTTTCAAGGCATTTGATCACAGTCATGGTGTGCATGTTAGGGCATGGGAATGCAAAAGGGAAGCATGAGTACTCATCAACGGCTGTAAACATATAAGGATTACGGGTCGCTGACGGTAGAGGCTCCTTAAAATCAATGCTGAGCCGCTCCACGGGCTGAGTAGCTCTGATGAGTGTCCCTTCCAATGGGCGGTAGAACTGGGGCTTCAATTCTGCGCAGACTTTGCAAGGTGCACGTGTGCTTTTTACATCTTCTGGTGAGTATGGGAGGTTTTTTGATCTCACAAAGTGTAGGAGCCGAGTCACTCCAGGATGGCAGAGTCCATTATGGATTTCAGTGAGAGTAGATGAAGGAAATGTTAAACAACAAAATGCTCTGGTAAGCATATCAGGAGCCACATTCTCCTTTCTAGGGCGATGCTGTATGGTGTAGCTGCTTTCTTCTGTAGTTCCACACTCATACAGTCTGTCTCGCTTTAAAAAGCTGGTTTTCTGGCATCTTTGTGTTGTAAATTAATATAACCTTTTCATTTTCTATATTTAATTTATTTTTATTTTTTTGCCCCCTAGGCCCGGATGTGGGTCAATGACCTGTCCCCAGGTGGGCTATTCCCTGTAAAAAAAAAAGGCGGGGGGGGGGTGGTGGTTCTGCCACCCAGACACCTCACCATATTAAACCGAAAGACTTATTTTGATATCTGGTGCCAGTGAAAGCAACTTTGTTGAAACCTCATGGTGTAATTTTTGCGGATGTGAGAGTACGCTCGGACCAAGCGGGTCGGTTGTAAACAGTGTCAGAGATATTAAAAACTAAGCATTTGCACAAGAAACATTACTCTTTAATATCAAATCTAGGGTAGTCAGAAACACTAGAAGAGGAATGGGTGAAAGACGAATATTAACCACTTTTTTATTGCAGTTTTCAGCGAATACATTGGTAATACAGCTCCTCCCCGACTTATGACCTACTCGACTTACGACCACCCGCACTTACAACCTGCCTCAGTCGTACCAAAATTTTGTCAAATTACGTATTTTCGAGTCCCAACGTCAGTGTACTGACAAAATTTTCGTTTGTAATTCACTTTAAAATGGCTGGCTAGCTTAAAAGTGAGAGTTTTGTGGTGCTGAGAAGAAAAAGAGACACCCATTTTAGATTTTCTATGTATCATTTAAGCATTTTCGACTTACGACCTGGATTTGGGTCCCTCACCCTGTTGTAAGTCGGGGAGGAGCTGTACACTGAAAGTTTTGGGAAATGCATAATTACTCTATTGAGTTTTGACCTTTCCTTTCTTGTCACACTTGATCCAATCTGCCTTTACTTTTCTTTTATTAACACTTGAGATCTTGTACTTATGTATAAAGAGCAGGGTCTGGACAAAACCCCCTTGGACAAAACCCCCTCAAGTAAAGTGTAAAATAGGAAAACAAATTTAGAGTAAAAAATAGGACAAAAGCCCCAATTTAATTTTTTTTATTTTCAGACTTTAAGTCCATTTTAATAATTTTAGGTAAGGTTAGGGGCTTTTGCCCTATTTTTTTTTTTAGTCTAAATAAGTATTTTTTTTCCTACTTTGCACTTTTCTTGAGGGGGTTTTGTCCTCAACTCATAAAAGGCAGAGCAAGGAACGGGGAATACCACCCATTTATTCATCACATGTCAAATTTTTTTAAAATGATTTTTTCATAACCATGGTTAGGTGGAGACAAAGGAAGCAGTTACAATCAAACAAGAAATAGACATAAAGTTTGTGGAGGTGAAAGAAGAAAACTGCCACACTAGTGAAGAAGACCTACAGTTCACTCGTGTAGAGAGAGACCTCATCGACAATGACTCCCTGGTCTTTGTAGACGTTAAAGAAGAGATCTTAGAACCCATAGTGAAGCAGGAAGACTCGGAGGTTTTTGTCATAGATGGATGTGCCGGTGAAGTCCCGGGGGACAGCTGCATGATTGAGGCAGACAAACACAAAAAACGTCTCTCTTGTTCTGAATCTTTGTACCACACAGAGACCATCACCTCGGAGTCCACATTAAGAGACTGGCCAACTTTAACCGAGATGACCAATCAGAAGTGAGTACAGTACTGTACCATAGTGCCTTACAGTTACCATAGGTTTTAGTTAACATCAGTCTCATATGATTTTATTTCCAGTATAATTGTATTTACTTTTCATTTTTACTTGGGACTTGGCAATACTGATTCAACCATCTTCTAAGTAGTGTTCTTTCATCTGATCATAAAAGAAATCTTTTTATCTCTCTGTGTCTCAAAGAGAACTCAGGTTCTCAACTGGCTCAGCCATGTTAATATTGTTATTATTATCCACTCTGAATCTGTAGTTTTTTCTGGCTAAATAAACTGTTACAATTCAATTCAACAATTCAATGTATGTAGACATTGTTAATTTGTTTATTTTATGACAATTAGTAGCTGTAGTTTGTCCTATTTTGTTAAATGGTTTGCGAGAAATAATCCATGGTGATCCCTTTGATTCTTATCCTTTACAGATTATCTTGGCTGTTTTATGTAAACAATTAAGAAATACTGGGTGCTACTATAGTGTGCAGACAAAAGAAATCTTTGTAGACCACACACTATGGTAGCACCAAATACTGTAGAGTATGTGTGTTGTGTATTTCTCTGTCACTCACCTGACGCATCAAGAGGTAACCAATGATGCAGCTCACCAGAATCATCTTATAATGCTTCTGAGCTGAGCAGGAATACACTAACTGTAACTCCAGTACTGTATCTTAATACTGTAGCTATTTGGAACTGACACTTGTAAAATGAATGGGTTTCTGAGTGGTATGGATGTTTCCATTGAAGGCAGACAGACCACACATTGACCTTTTCACCTGATCATAAAACATAGTGCCTCTGGAATATCTTGGGTACATGTTAGTGGCAGCCACACAGTCACTTATGCTTACTTTCGCTGAGATTTTGTAATTGATTTACTGGTATTTTCTTTTAAGTATCAAGATGTTGTACAATGTTGGATGCTGTACAGTGATCCTCTGCAAGTGTTCACCTGGACAGTAAAAAATTCACAATTGTTCAACTTTTCTAGTACCTGTACCCTTAACCCTTTCCTCGCATAAAGCGACGTAAGTCACCTAATTACCGTTTACTGTGTAAAGCGACAGCCTCTTGGCCATCAAAAAATATTTCCATCTACCGTGTAAAGTGATCACCTTCAACTGTTTTGAAACGAGCACCTCAGACCATTGGTGGTGAACAACTGAGTAAACATGGAGACGACGCACCCTCCTCCCATCACCCGGGCCATCAATACAGTACACAGGCATGTACTGTTACTCATTTTAATTGTTTTCACCATAAATAAGGTAAGTTTAGGATGTCATAACATCAAAATTGTTGAGAAGATGGGGGTCTTCCTGGAGTTATGCTCAGACTGTCCTCCATTTGGGATGTAGTGATGTACACTAGCAGAGGCCAAGCCACTAAATTATTGAATTTGAAGGATAAAAAACATATTTTGGTGGTTGTGTGAAACTAATTACTACCCAGGAATTCCTTCCTGTCCCTTCACCTCTCTGTGGCAACTCCAGTCACCCTTACACTCGTGATGTTAAGAAGAGCTCTTAGCAGAACCTCTCAGGCCTCCATAGAAAAAAATGGGATAAGGTGGTGACTGGAGTGTTAAGTTCTTAGTTTTTATTATTTTGCAAGAAGTCTTAGTGTAGCGCAGGATTGCTTTGTAACCCAGATGTTATTGGGTCACCAGACTCACTTCTGTTGTAAGACAGGAGGGCTAGACTTAAAGGGTATGACCCTCTAGCAGTGTACAGTCCCCCAAAAAGTATCGTTGTATTTTCCGTCACTACAGTTTGAAACACTAGATGAAATGCATTGATATGATCCCCAGTCCATCATCATAAGTAGGTATACTACCTGCTGGCCATATCAGCAACAGCTGGAGATGGGGAAGGGAGTCGTCATTGTATGGCATACTAAATACTTAAATAGCTATAACAAGAAATCCATTAAGCTATATTACTGTATGTATTGTGCTGGGTAGAAGCAAGGCATAGTGAACAAGCCACTGACTGATGATTACGGTAACACTGAAATACATTATACATTAAATGGAAGTGTTTCGGAACATCATGACTGAGACAGACCTCAAAACTAACAGTTCACCATTCCATCGTTGTAGTAGCAGATTTTCATTCATACCAAGTTTCACAATATACCTACCCATGTTGTTCATGATATGTCTGATTTATGAAGATTGACTAACAAATGGTACTTGATATTAGAGTGAACAGCTACAGCATTATATTGGTCTACATGGGATCTGATATGTAAACTGCTTGACTTAACACCGAAATAAGGTTTCACATCAAGGGTCTTGTAAGATATTTGTGTTTGTAAGTTTCAGTGTTGCAGCAGTGTTTCATGGCACCTAATCTATCGTGATGCTGTGGGTTTGCTCACCCCAGTTCGCCGTGCTATCTCAGCGTTACGTCCCCTTGTTGTAAAGGGCAATGATAGCACCTCTCACATCTTGTGATATCTTCCTGATAATTCCTTGCTCCATTCGATAACTGGTATCCATTTACGACATCCACTCCGAATCATGATCTGAAGCCTCAGAGGATTCACATAGTTCGAAAACGTATATACAGTGAACCCTCACCTTACACGGTCAGTTGAACCCACGGCGGCCCGCGTAAAGTGAGAAACGCGTAAAGTGAACAACATAACATATGGGATTAATTGAAATAGAGACCGGGCCGACCCCCAAACTCCACTTTTTCAGACACAATACCTACGTTGTAGTAAAAATAACTTCTTAATTTTATGATGGTATGCACACACAATTAATAATTAAGAGAAATATCAATAATATTAGGTTTTTTAACACTTACATTAATAGAAAAGATGGCTGGGCACACGGGGATGGGGGGGTTGGTTCTGAGGCAGAGGGCAGATTATTGGCCCTCACCTGTATCACTTGTATCAATTGTATCACTATCCACCACAGAGGCTTGCAGGGCCTCTTTGTCAAACCCTTCAAAGTCCATATAAGTCCATATCCTCACTATCTTTATCACGATCACTGACTTGGGCCGGCTGTGGTGGGTGGCGGGTGAAGAACTCGGTAATGTTTTGATGACTGGGCGACCTTGTGCACACCCTGCTCGCGCCGCTCTCCGCGTAAAAGGGTACACACACCGCGGAAAGTGAGCATTCCGGTTTCGGCAGGGTACCGTGTAAACGTGGAAACGCGTAAAGTGAAACCGTGTAAAGCGGGGGTTTACTGTACACTACTCTTGCTTAGAGGTCCAGGATGTTCAGAAACAGGTCGAGTAACATTGCTCGGAAAGCCTTGAATCACATCGAACCCATGGCTAACGATACTTTTTGAGGGGACTGTACAGTACACTAGCAGTGCCCAACAATCTCATATAGGCTTTTAAATCCTTCAAAGCCCATATTTTGGTAATGCCTTGAACAAATTTCATAGGTTTTTTAAACACCAATTACTTTATTTTCTTTGGGTAATTTTTGGATGTTTTTTCATGTTTTTTGTTGGAGTAAAAGGTTTTTATTTTTATTATTATTATTACCACCAGTACAGTACTGTATATTCACAATCTGTATACTACTGTACTGTAGGAAACAAGCTGGTTGTGGGTCTTTGGTTCTTGTGCGTTGGTAGGAGAGCAGTGCACAGCTGCCACATGAGGGATTCCTTACTGTTCTGCCTACATTATTTTTAACAGAGGTCAAATTGTTTGTAGGTTACTTGGAATCTCAAACTCTGTACAGTATACCGTACAGTATTTGTTTGAATTATCCAAAATTCGAATTAGTGAGGCTATACTATCATGAGATAAAGACTCACTCCACATACAAATAAGAAGTATTGAAGGTAACAAAGCACTTGATTTTCCTGTTTTAGGATGAAGAAAGAATCAAGCAAATATACTCTGAAGAAGCCTGCGACAGGTGAAGGCCAACCACTTATACCACCCAAATACGATGAATTAATAACATCGGCAGCCAGTCTGAAGAGTGTGGAGCTTGAGTTTGAAGATTGCCAGCTTGACAGTTTAGCTCCTTCAGCTGATGCCTCCATCATATTGCAGGAATCCGAACTTGGTAATATTTTTATCGCCATGGTAACAATACACAGTCAACATGGTATCTGAACACCTTGGGACCCAGAGATGTCCAGATAATAAAAAAAGTTCAGATGATAGAATGGTCCCCAGGAACAACAGTGCCAAATATTGACAACAAGAAAATAGCTTAAACCAACTTAAAATGATGCAACAGTACTTTTTCTGGTCTTGATACATTATTAATTTTGGTTGAAATGCATAACTAGTCATAAAATATCACTCACAGATGACTTTAATACTGTTCTAGATTCACAACAAATCATTGGTCTGGGCTTACTGTGCTGGATCCCTCATACGATGGCTACTTATTGTTCAGTACTGAGCACTTGCTTCTGGCTCTTCTTGTGGAACATTTAGAATTATGCTGGTGTTGTCTGACACTGTGAAGGGAATGATACTGTTTTCAAAGAGGCAACTTTTACACGGGTTTGTTTGGTACAAATTACTGGGTGTCCCAAAAATGTATGTGCCATTTTTATTTATTTTTTTTTTACTATTTTTTTTTTACACCTTATAAATTGAGACAAGTGAGGACATAATTTGTTGACATCTACGTTCAGGCAGCAGGTGTACTTTTCGGAGTAAGTTTTCATGAATGAGACTGATAAGAGTGATAGTTGGAATTTCTGGGCAATGTTTCCAGATGCCATGTTGATAACTCAACATAACGTGTGTATACAGTCTGTGCTGTCAACAGTACCTCTTTTTCAGCCCTTAAGAAACTCAGATAACAGATACTGTAGTATATGAAAACAGTGTAATTACCTTCTTATTGGCATTAGAGTATATATATCAAGTATAATTCTACACATACAAGTACGGGGTTCCCCGTTATCCCCAGTTAATTGGGACCAGAAAAAATGCCTCTGATAATGAATCCACTTAAAGCGGGGAATTAATCCAATAAGAAAT